CTCTTTGTAGAAGACTCCACAAATCCACAACTCTTTAAATTAATAACTGTATTTGGTAATGTAGCAGGACACACAGTCAACATCCAAAAATCAGTAGCATTTCTGTGCAGTGATAATGAACTCACTAAGAAATTTGGGGAAGTACTACCATTCCCAGTAGCACCAGGGAAGGAATAATTAGGGTTTTTACCTGGCTAAGGAAATAAAAGACCTCTACAATGAAAATATATCACTCTGAAAAAGGAAATGGAAGGATACGTCAGAAAATGGCAAAATATCTCCTGTCCCAGAGAGGTAGAACCAATATATTCAAAATAGCCATTACCATTCTTCCAAAATTAGTATACGTGTTTAAGGCACTTTCAATCAAAATTCCAACAGCATTCTACACAGATGTGGTAGCTTAACTAATGGTCAACTTAGAACACCCAGGTAGCTGAGTCAGGTTGGTTCTGGGCATGGAAGACTCACCTGAGAATTGTTGCTAACAGCATAAAAAGAGAACTGGAGGGGAAGATCGTATGCTGTTGATTTGCTAGGAGAAGCTTGCTGAGGCTACTTTTGCAGATATGAACCTGGCTGTTGTCATCAGAGGAGCTTGGGTCCTTACTGTCACCTAGGGTGGCTGCTGTTCTCATCAGAGGAGCTCTGATTTTCACTGTGAGAGCATTGCTTCCTGGCTCTAGCGCAGATCCTTCAGCCTGGTGCCACAGACCCTTCACCCACTACCTCAGGCTTTCTAGCTTTCACTACTGGCCTTTGGGTCTTCCCAGTGCAGATCCTAGATATGGACTTGCATGAGGCATTGCCTTGGAATCCGGGCCCTTGGCTGGACCTGGGTCTCTGGGTCTGGATGGATCTCTTGCATTGCTCTGCTTTTGACTTTTGGGGTGACTACTGTATAATAATCCTGTAAATTATGTGTCCTGTATTAAATCTGTTCCCTTGCAAACCCTGACTGCAACAATGGAGTGAGAGAAAACAATCCTAAAATTCATATGGAAATAGAAGAGACCTAGAATAGTAAAACAGTAAAAGAAAGAATGGCCACCATTAAGAAATCAAATAATAACTCATGCTGGTGAAAGTTTGAGAGAAAAGGAAGACAGAATTCAGCATGCTACTTTTTCACCACTGGAGAATTTAAACTAATAGTAGAATCCCTTCAGAAATCATTATGGATCCTCCTCAAAAAACTGAAGCTAGAAATTCCATTTGATCCAGCTACTCCCCTTCTAGGTATCTTCTCAAAAGAGTTAATGATGTCATATTACAGTGACACATGCATGCATGCCCAGGTTTATAGCATCAAATTCATAATAGCTCAATCTTGGAAGTAGCCTCAATGTCCATTAACAGAATGAATGAATAAAGCAAATGCGCTATTTACACAAAATGAGGTACTGCTCTGCCACAAAGAAAGATGAAGACAAGCCTTTTGTAAAAACAGATGCACCTTGAGACCATAATGTTATGTGAAATGAATCAGACACACAAGTTTAGATATTGTGTGGTTTCTGAAGTATAAATGAAGGCATATTAGTTAAGAGGAAATAGGGAGATGGATCTTTCTCAAACAGAAAGGCGTTCAGAGATTCAGGAAGAGGGAAGAAGGGGCAGGAAAGGGGAAGGTACAAGGAATTACGATGTGTCATATAGAGGTACCCACTCTACACAAGGAACGTAAACCCTGTGTACTACAAATATGTGTTAAAGTGTAAATTTGTACACAATGACTAACTCTTCACCATCTCTCCCACTTTTTTTGTCCTAAGAAATGTCGAATAACATATTTTTGATTCTGCAAAGGAGTGAGAATGTGAGATGTTGTGGGTTTTTTCTCCTGCCTCTTTTTTATGTAATACTATATCCTCTAACTCATCCATGTGTTGTTGGAAGTGAGAGGATTTCCTCTTATTTGATGGATGAATATTAATTCCTTTCACCATGTTTTGGTACCAGGAATTGAACTCAGGGCCTCGTGTTTGCCAGGCAGGTGCTGCACCTCTGAGCTACGTTCCTGGACCCCTTTCACATTTTTCTGATCTGTTCATTCACTGTTGGATACTTTGATTGACACCATGTTATCGTAAGTATTCTGAAGAGGGCTGCAGTAAACCTAGGAATGTAGACTTTTCCTCAGTAGAATGATCTTAATTTTGAATATGTCTCTGATAAGGAATATACCCTAAAAGATTCCTCTTAATTCATTCTCTCTCTCTCTCTGTCTCTCTCTCTCTCTCTCTCTCTCTCTCTCTCTCTCT